CAGGCCGCGGCTGCTGCTGCCCCTGGACCCCTACGGCCATGGGCTGCTGCCCGCCGTGCACCCGGACGGTGGCCGGGGCCGGGCCCACGGCAAGAGGAAGAGCTGGAACTTCATCCATGAGAAGATGAGCTACGACACCTTCTTCACCATGAAGCGGCTGATCGAGCGCTCGCGCAGCGTGGGCGAGGTGCTCCGCTGGGTCACGCAGAACCCGGGCAAGGTGTCGGCTAGTCACTACCCCATAGCGCTTCACAAGCTGGGGCAGCTCCTGCAGCAGCAGCCGGGGCCGCCCATGGGGGCTGGGGACAGCCGCGGGCCCGCGGGGCAGGTGCTGGAGCAGCCCGAGTTCCACGTGCTGTGCCAGGCCATCGTCAGTGGCTGCGCCAAGTTCGACAACTTCAGCATCGTCAACTGCCTGTACGCAGCGGCCGCGCTGGGTGAGCCACCCCGGGGTCTCAGACAGGGTGGGGAGCGCAGCGCTGCGACAGGGGCCAGGACCGGGTTTGTAGGGATTTATGTAGTGGTGCATTTGTGGCAGACAGAGCTGTGACCATGGGGGGCTTTGGTCAGGGGGCTCAGCTCAGCAGGGATGCTCTGCTCCTCCAGGGCAGGAGGGCTTAGTGTCCCTAGCAGACCAGGAGATCGATGCTGGGCAGCCCTGCCTGGCAGGATGTGTAGCAGTCACTCCTGGGCCGTGTGTAGGTCCAGCTTGAATTCCAAGCCCTGAAAACCCAGAAGCACCTGAGCACCAACGGGGGAGATCATGGGTTTGGCTGAACTCCTGGAGGGCACAAGCCCCGTGTTGCTGTGTGGGAGAGAGCGTTTGAGGTAGTTGGGCTCCTGTGCAGCTTCCTTGGGGTGCTGCTGAGCTGAGAAGGGCACAACCTGAGGAGCTGTGTTCAGGGAAGGCTGCATCCCAGAGGCTTCTCCTTCTGTGTGCCAGGGTCACCCTGCAAGTCCTCCTCTGTGAGGAAAGGGATGGTGTCTACATCCGAAAAGGAGTGGGCAGCAGGGGGAATCTTCCCCTCTGCCCCACTCAGGTGAGGCCCTAACTGCATTGCTGCTTCCAGCTCTGAAGCAAAACAGCAGAAAGACATGGAGCAAGCCCAAGGGAGGGCATGGAGATGCTCCAAGAGCTAGAGAGGGTCTTTGAACAAGGGCCTGGAGGGACAGGACAAGGGGGAATGGTTTCCCACTGCCAGAGGGCAGAGTTAGATAGAATTTGGGAAGGAATTCTTCCTTGAGAGGGTTAGGAGCCCCTAGCACAAGCTGCTTAGAGAAGCTGTTGCTGCCCCATCCCTACGAGTGTTCAAGGCCAGGTTGGGCGGGGCTTGGAGCAACCTGGGGTAGTGGAAGGTGTTCCTGGTCATGGCAGGAGGTTGTAACTGGATGATTTTTAAGGTCCCTTCCAACCCAAACAATTCCAGGATCTGGCGGGTGCCTGTCCTCCTGCCCGTGGCTCCCCCCATCCTGGTCTCGATCCGTTCCCTGCAGCCTTCCTGGGCCAGGGCTCGGTGGAGCCGCCCGGCCGGGGTTGACGCAGTAACTCGAGCCCCTGCCGGGGGTGGGGGGCCGGTTCTGCCCGTCCCCAGGCCGGCGGCGCCGGGTGTTTGTTGACACTGAGCCGGAGCTGCCGGTGCCGCTGCCCTCAGCAGGCTCCCCATGCTGGGCCCCCCTCAGCTCTGCTCTGCCCCCCACTTTGTTCTGCCCCCTTGTCCCTCATTAACACAAACTCCAGCTTTCTTTTGAGACCTTTTTACGGAACAAAGCGGCTGCTCAGACCAATTGTTCACGTTCCCCCTCCTGAGTTCTGATTAACGATAACCCGCAGTGACTCGCCCTGCGCTGCCCTGCGGCCTGTGCCCGCCCAAATCCTGGGGTGATGGGGAACTCCAGGCCCCCCCAACGCTCTTTGCCTCTGCTGAGGAGATCCCTCCTGACAGCCAAAGCACGGAGCCTGTGCCAAGGCCTGGATAACACGTCCTGAGCTGCAGGGAAGTGTTTCCCTGGGAGCCAGGTTGCACAAGCTGTAGCTGAGCTGGGAAACAGGAGAAGGTCAAAAAAGCCAAAGGATTAGTCCCTGTTGGAACAAACAGGGTTTAGTTTGGTCACATGGAATGTCACAGTTGTTTTTCAACCACAACTTTTTGAGGTGAGTTGCTTGAGTGTCTAGAGCCCCTGGAAGTGCTCCAGGCCAGGTTGGATAGGGCTTGGAGCAGCCTGGTCTAGTGGAAGTGTCCCTGCCCATGGCAGAGGACTGCAACTGGATGGGATTTAAGGTTCCTTCCAACCCAAAACAGTCTGAGATTTTGGGATTCTATGAGTAATTTGTCTTTGAAATGTTTGAGACTTAATGAACTTTGCTACTGCAGGTGAGCTGCAGGGCTCCCATTCCAGTGGGATGGGTGGGAATGACCCCGCAGCTCCATGCAGCATTTTCCGTGGTGCAGATGCTCTGATGTTCTGCTGGTGCTTTGCCTTCCCCTCCTTTCCTTTCTCGGTTTGGGCACTGATCCAGCACGTCCATCCAGTCGTGGCAGTGGCCTCCTGCCCCAGCTAAGGAGGTGTTTGTGCCGTGGAGCTGAGGTGTGTCCATGGGGCTGAGCCATGGCCAGGAGCTGAGCCGTGCCTGTGCCCGTTCCCCCCGCAGGGCTGCCCGGGGAGTCGCCGCTCGTGCGGGTGCTGGAGGACGAGTCCCGCAGCCGCCTGGGCCGCTTCAACCAGAAGGACGTGTCGATGGTGTTCAGCAGCGTGATGCGGCTGCACCCCTCCAGCCCCCACCCGCTGGTCGAGTCCTGCCTCAGCAGCCTGGAGCGGCACCTGGAGAAGGAGCGGCACCCCCAGACCCTCTTCCTGCTGCTCTCCTACTACCGGCTGCGGGCACAGGCGCTGCAGGGCCACGCGGCCTCCGACCAGCAGCTCATCAACAACCGCAAGATCCTGCGCTTGGTGCGGCACACGCTGGGCCAGGTGAGCGCCATGAGGGAGCACGAGCTGGCGCTGCTGGACGAGATGCTGGCCCTGTGTGCCCAGGAGGCCAACAACAAGGCCCTGGAGGCCATCTTCAGCTCCCAGCTCTTCTACGAGAACCGGCAGGAGCGCTTCATTCGCAGCATGGCAGGTGAGGGGTGCCCAGGTGGGGTCCAGCGCTGCCACCCGCATTGGTGCAGGAAGAGGACATGGGGGTCTCTGGCCGGGTTGGGGGGCAGCCTCACAGATGCCTTCTTGGGCCTTGGGGATGTTTGGGTGGTGACAGCCTCAGCTGGGGCCCTGCTGAGCCCCAGCACGGTAGCAGGAGGAGCCCTGTGTCATGGCCACCCTTGTCACTGACAGCCCAGTCCAGCCCTTTGACAGGCTGGGAGTTCCACCATTCCTTTAGGGACTGGGAGGGACCAGGAGCCTCCTGTTCCTTCAGGGACTGTTTTCCCACTGTGCCTCCAGGCTGGACACAGTTTTGGTTTTGCAGAAGGGCCCACCTGTGCACATTCCAGCTGTGCTCCATCTGTCCCTTCTGGCTGTGCATGACAGGAATCTGCCTCAGCCTCTCACCTGACCAATACCTGAGGGTTTTTAGGAGCTGCCTGGCTTTTGAGGTTTTTGGGAGTGGTGCTACTGTGCGGTCCTGTCCTCCCACTTGCCTGGGCTGTGGTGGCTGCAGAGGACCTGGGCTGGGGACAGATCTGGCCCCTGTGACGGCCCCCCTGCTGTGTTGGCTCTGCAGAGTGGCTGCCCCGGAAGGCAGAGAACCTCACCCCCTACACCATGGCCCTCATCGCCAAGTACGTGGCACGGCACCGGCTGCGTGAGCCGCGGCTGCTTGACACCATCGCCAACTTCCTGCTGAAGCGCGGAGAGCAGCTCGACAGCAAGGTGAGCGCTCGCCTCACCTGTGGGGTCACCTCCCTCTGTGGGCTCACCTGGGCAGAGGAGCCACGGCCCTTCTCCATCATGATGGGGCATTCCACGGCACCAGGGGCCATGCCCCAGTCCTGGTGGGTTCTGAGCTCCCCTCTCTTCATGGCACTGGGCAGGTGGCCCCAACCTGTTCCTTGTCCCACCCCGGCCCCACACTCCTGTCTTTCCACAGGTGATCCAGAAGTTGGTGTTTCCCTTCAGCCGGATGAACTACCGCCCCTCCAACCACGGCGAGCTCTTCCCCAAGCTGGAGGCCATCTTGGAGCAGAAGGCTGGCAGCTCACCACTGGCCACCGTCAACATCCTCATGTCCATGTTCCAGCTCAGCCACTTCCCACAGACTGTCCTGCACCAGGTCTTCTCCCCAGGTTTCATCACCAACGTCATGAGTACGTGGGGCCGTTGCCAGGGTGCTCCCAGCTGGGGTAGGGGTGGTTCCCGGCAGCAGGGCTGGGTGAGGGGCCGTTTGCCTGGGTGGGCTCCATCTCCGCTGCCCCCGCAGGCAGCCCCTACGCGCTGATCGTGCGCCGGTACCTGTCGCTGCTGGACGCGGCCGTGGAGCTGGAGTTCCGGGAGTACAGCGGGCCCCGCCTGGACCCGCGCTACCGCGTCCTCATGTTCGAGCACGCCCTGACCGCTGACGAGGCCAACAGGAAGTACAGGTGAGGGGGCAAGGGGCAGCACCCCTCTGCTGTCCCTCACAGTGGGGACACGGCATCTGGCGCCTACTCTGGCACATGGTGCTGGAATGAGGGCCCCTATGGCAGCTCCAAAGCCTGGGGGGTAGCACTCTAGAATCACAGAATCGTTTAGAATTGCAGAATTGTTTGGGTTGGGAAAGCCTTGAAGACCTCAGTGGAGAAGAGGTGATATTCATACAGGGAGAACTGGTTTGGAAACGCCTCCAAGTCCAGCCAGAGTTACCGGCAGCGGGGGGCAGAAGCTGGGTGCAGAGGCTTCCTTTCCAAGGCATTCTCGCAGTCAGTGCACTCTGCCACTCCAGCCTCACCAAGCATTTCAGTGGATACCACCTGCTGGAAGCAGGACATACAGGAGGTCAGGACTGGCGTACAGGTGAAGGCTTTCAGATTGGCAATGAGGAGAGTAAAAAAATCAGATGAGGAAAATGCATCCTGCACATCCCATTTCCCCAGCAGGACCTGGGCAGAGGAGGAGGAGGAGGAAGGGTGCTTGCATGAAGGGACTGGACATCTGGAAGAAGATGTCATGACAATGTTGGGTGACCTAGCCCCTGAGTCCACCCGTCCCCAGCACTGCTGAGGCCACCACTGACCGTGTCCCCAAGTACCACATCCATGTGGCTGTTCAGTTCCCTCAGAGATGGGGACTCACCCCTGCCTTGGGCAGTGGTGCCAGGGCTGGACAGCCCTTTTGGGGGGCATTTGGTGTCCCAATACTGTAAGGAGCTTTTCTGCAAAAGGAACTGGAGCCCATCCCCTCTTGACTCCCAACAGCAGAGCCTCCAAAACTCCAGCACTGTTCATCCCACTCCTGGGGGTTCCCATCTCCATGCTGATGTACTCGGCACCAACTGTGCTGGCGGGACACGCTAGCCCCTGCAGTGCCCCCCTGATTGTGCCCTCCTTGCAGCTACAAAGGGCTGGTGGCCGAGGCGCTGCGACAGCTGGTGGGGGAGGAATGCTACCGGCAGGACGAGGTGCTGCCCCCCGGGTACTGCACAGGTAATAGCCTGGGCTGTGGGGAGAGGCTGCCATGGGGGGCTGGGGGTGGGAGGTCATTTGGGACAATGAGCTCTGGCTGCTTTGTCACTGCCTTCCGTGTGATAGTGCCCTTGGGACGCAGCTCCCTGAGCCCTCCCACTGCAGAAAGGGGGGTTCCCCTGTGCCTCTGTTTGCTGGCTCAGAGTCCCAGCCGGGTCACAGAGTTCCCGAGCCCGTGTCCCATCAGTTGCCGATGCCTGTTCTCTCTCCTGCAGACTTCCTGCTGTGGATCAACCGCTCAGGCACGGTGCTGCCTCTGTCGCGCGTTCCGGCAGCTTCCAGGGTACCCCCAGCCACGTCCCCCGTCGCCGTGTCCCTGCGCTCCAGCGTGCTCGCCCTCACCTCGGATTTGCAGGACTTTGCCCCGTTTGCCGCAGAGACGCCCGGCAGCCCCCCAGGCCCCCGGGAGAGCGGCCGGGCCGGGCGGTTCCTGCCGGCGCTCTGCCCAGCCCCGGGGGGGCCTTGCTTCCAGCCCCCCTCGGACTATTACTGCGGGCTGAG